TGAATCCAGCTTGAACTTCTGGCAGTTCCCTGTCAATGTACTGCTACAACTGTTTTTGGGTTGTTTTCAGCAAAATATTGATCTTTATGCTTTCCATTTCATTTTTTACAACTTCCAATTTTCCTACATTCATACTTTGTACAATCCATGTTCTAATTATTAATGGATGTTTGCAGCTGCCTCTTCTCATTTTAGTCATGCCACATCAGCAAATGAAAGTCCCAAAAGCTTTATCCATGTCATTAAGGTCACCTCTACTTTGAGGAGGCAGTTCTTCCCCAGTCATATTTTGAGTACCTTCCAAGTTGAGGGGCTCATCTCCCGGCACTCTATCACACAATGTTTCACTGCTATTCATAAGATTTTCATTGGCTGATTTTTTCAGAAATGGACCACTTCTTCCTTCTTCCTCGTCTGTCTTAGTCTGGAAGCTCCACTGAAACTGTCCACCCTGGGTGACCCTGCTGGTATTTGCAATACTGTTGGCATAGCTTCCAGCATCATAGCAACATACAAGTATGGCAAACTGAGAGAGTCTTGACAATTAAAAATGTCTTTAGACCTTACAAATTACCCTGGGGATAAACATTGTCCCGAGTTGAGAACCACGGCTAAACCTCTATTCCCCTCCATTCTCCTAGGACACAGGCTTCGATACTCAGGAATTGGGAAGAAGACTAGCAGGCTATTTGCTTTCCACCCTCCTTTGTCTCTTCTCCTGACACAATAAATGTTAATGTGAATGCAAGGAAAATGGAAGAGGAGAGATTACATATCTCACGGAATACAGTTACTATTTTAAAAGCATTATTGTACATGTGGTATATTTTCTCACTTGTTGCCTTAGAAGGTACACATGTTCATTCTAGCACGTCCGTTGTGTGTTTAGTTTGTATATAGGAAGAAATCTGAAACAGGGCAGAGAGAGATTTAGTCACTAAATTCTGATCAATAGAGCTGAGAAAAGGATTATTCTTTACACTCAATACACATGCCTGGAACCATGTTTCTCAGTATTGAACTTCCCTTCTACGTTCAGAACTTATACTCCCTCTAGTGAATTAAAGCAAGGCTTAGCTGTTTGAAGGGCAAGATGGATCAAAGGCCTTGCATTCAATGCCTTTAACCCTTGTCTGAGTCATTCCATGGAAATCAATAAAAACCAGCAACAACTCTATTGACAGCAAACCTTTCATCAGCTCAAAGGTGACAGAGATTCTGTCAGTGCTGCAGGTGCCACATCCATTATTTATTAATTCATTCACTAAAGTTTGGACTTAAGTGGCTCTTGAGGCCCTAGAACATGAATAGCAGTACAGGTCCACGTAAATTAAAGCTGGAGATTAGTAGTTTCAATTCTATGAAGGTTTCCATGCCTTTACTCTGCCTATTAACTAACTCATGCCCATGGCATGAATGATGAAAAACAATGGTTAAACCTGAGGCTAAAAGACGTCTTATATACGGAGCATCTAAGATCACTTCAATTTATTTTAAAAGCCTTGCATGAAAAAGCTTTTGATGCTGCCCTGGGCATGTACTTATTTCAATTCTTGTTTTAGTCACATATTCCCAGGACATTTAACATGACTCATCTTCGGGCTACAGAACTCCAATGTAGCACAGTAGTTATGACATAAGCAGCTATTTGGGGAGAAGTTAATCACTTTGTTATGGTGTCATTTACACTGAATGTTGATACATTGGTAGATTATAATAAGAAAGCATAAACCCTTCTCCTCCACCAAAATCCAGCCTGAGTAAACTTTTTATTCCTCCCTGAGCATCTCAATTCTAAGTGCTACAGCAGCTGTGTACACACTGAGCTACCTCACCTAGGGTGCAGGTCAGTTAAGAGCTCATAAATGCCCAGCCCTGAGATGAAGCCCATACCTGTTGCCATGGAGTCAATTTGATTGCAACTCATAGTGACCCTATAGGGCAGAACAGAACCTCCCCCATAGGATTTCCAACGCTGTAAATCTTTATGGATGCAAACTGCCACATCTTTTTCCTGTGGAGTGGCTGGTAAATTCAAACTACCAACCTTTCAATTAGCAGCTGAGCACTTAACCACTGCTCTACCAGGGCTCCTTTCTGAAAGGGAGCAGTGAATGGCTTTTCTCAAGCTAGGTCTTGACTGCTCACAGGGAAGCGAGTGAAAGCAGCCAAAAACTGCCCACTGTAGACATGAGTAGGAGTTCTGGTGGCGTAGTGTCTAAGGCATCTGACTGCTAACCAGAAGGCTGGTGGTTCATACTCACCAGCCACTCCTCAGAAGGAAGATTGGGCAATCTACTTCCACAGCAATACTGCCTTGGAAAACTAAGGAGGGGTCGCTAACAGTCGGAAACAACAGCAGTGAGTTTGTTTTTGGTTTTGGCAGACATGACTAAAATCAGAGGTAAAGCATGTTAGTTGGGGCAACAGAAGCTTCTGACACAACTATTATGCCCCCATTTAGAGAGAGGAAACTGAGGTCATCTCACCTGCCAATGTCACAAAGCTAGTCAGTGGTGGGCCCAGGATTCAAACACTGGCAATCTGATATCAAAGACCAGGGCCCCAACCATTATGCTATCATCCTTCACATGGTGGACTTCCAACAGCTGCACTCTACTCTTGCCATATGCACCTCCACCCAGACACTCGAGCAGTCCATCCACCAATTCAATTTGGACCGATTAATCAAGTGTTCTATTTCCTCCTTTGGTAATTCATTTTCTTTTCATTGCAACAATACAAGAAAATGTGAAATGCTGCATCTGCATTTATGAGAAAAAAAATGAGTACCTTTCATTTGAGATCATGTAACAAGAGAGGTTCATGGAGTACACCACTCAAAACACAGGGGAAAGAAGAAGAAATAGAGCTCAAACAACTTTTTTTGAGTTCATTAACTGCTTTTCAATTTTTTATTAAAATGTTATTCTTCAAAGAATATAGAAATACATCTGGCAATGACCTGTTAGAAGTCAATCATCCATTTCACACATACATAAGAAATATACCTGCCAAATCCCACCTCATCAGAATTTATTAAGTTGTACATATATATTATTGGAATAACACAAAAATGGCTACATTGGACAGATTCTTCTAAAGTGAACACAATTTTCTGACAGGCTAATATTCCCCTTGATAAAAGTAACAACTGTAGAGGTTTCAAAAGGTAACCTTGAAGGGCCACAACGTTAACTACCAGGGCAAGGTGTTACAGATGGCATGCATAAAGGGTCCAGGTGGCAGGTCAGCCACAGGTGAGGATGTAGCAGTTCCCTGTCTCTGCTGTGAGCGAACACCACAAGGAAACAAAACACAAAAGAAAGGGTGCTTCCTCTTCAGGGGTAGGGTCTTTTGGTTCACATTCAGAATCACAAGACACTACATCCAAGAGAAGAAAGGAAAAGGAAACTCCCTACACATACTCTGAGCCTCCGTGTGAGGACCACTGCCTTTGGGACAAGAGAGTTTGCTGGTGAGAATACCCAATGGCCTTTCAAGCTTGTTCAAGACACTGGAGATGCCCCTAAGAATTATTTAACAAGAACAAAACACCTAGGGAAAGGAGTAGAGCTGGTACTTGACTTGCCTTCATTAAGAGTGAAGTGCTATCTGTGGTTTGAATTCAACTTGGTGAAATCCACCCCTGAAATGGAATTGAATCACCGTCGAGCACCACCAGGAGACTAATCAGTTGAGAAGAATGTCTTCCCTTTTCTATCCACTCTGGCTCCTACTAAAACTTCACTAAGGAAGAGGAAGTGAAGAGCTCACCCTAAGCTAGGTGTTGCCTTGGCATTGAATAATGACTAACAGGGTTATTTCTCTTTGTTCTGTTTGTCCTTCTTGTCCAAAATGAAGGGAGAATCATAGCTGTACAAACAGAATGAAAATGAGACGAGCTGTGCCTGGGTTCTAAGTCCTCATCAGAACAGAGCCATCTGTCTCAGAGTCTTTGCAGCCTGTTGGGCAGAACCACCTTTCCTAATGATGTATTTTTAGCTTCATGTTTCCAGAGGACCCAGTTTACACCAACTTTGTATTTCAATTACCTTTTAATTTCAAAAGCCTGCATAAGAAAATGTTTTGCAATATTCTCGTGCTGATTTTATCTTAGCACCCTTCATGTGGGAAGAGGAAAGACTATACAGTGTTGTGGCATTTCTCAGTCTTTGTCCCTCTCTAAGTTTCTCTCTCACTTGAGAAAACAAAATTTAAGAGAGAAAGATATTGTGAAGAGCTTGTGGTGGTTTCCAACTAATATCATGACTAGAGGAAGCAGGAGTATATTTCTGATGCCTTGGTGATGCCAGGAGAATGTCAGGATAATTGAGAACAAAATATCTCCCTTACCTTTCTAGGCACACCTGCTTCAATGTCTATCAAATAAGGATGGAATTCTTCACTTAAATCCCATTGAAAGGGATGAAGAGCATCTTGAAGAACTGTCAGTCTCATGATGGGACCTTCCAGAGAAAAGGTGTGAGATCATTACAAAAGGTGCTAATGTTTTATGTATTTGCTTTGTGGTCACACCACTCCATAATTATCTTTGGCTTCCCTTAGAGTACCCTGCTCCCTCTGAGCTTGTGGATGCTCTTCTTTCCATGTGTTTTCTGCTAGGCCCAGGGAACTGAGGAGCCCCAAGAAAATGCACATGGAGCACACACACCAAGATCTGTTCCAAATTGCTCAGCTTTATTTCCACTAGAGGAACATGGACTTTACTAAGGACGTGTATCATTGGCATATATATATATATATATATATATATATATAT